TTGGCATAATGAAGAATCATGCATCTCAATATGCAAATAATTACCATTCTAATACAAATCTAAAAGGATAACAAGTATTTGTATTTCATGCATATTACAATTATATGTTTTCTACTATCAATTCACTAACAAAATCAAGTATCATACAAGCACATTACCAGATAAAAATAAACCTCCAAGTAGCAAACAGTATTTATTTTGCCTGGGGGGTGATTGCAGCTTCTACCTCTTTCAAGAAAAAACTGGTAGAACAATGGCCCCACCCACAACTGATTTCCTCAAATTGAATTTTGAYGGCAGCTGTTTTGGCAACCCAGGCCCTTGTGGGATAGGTGGAGTATTAAGAAATGATAGGGGCTGGGATTRTTCTCAGGACCAATTGGGGAAGGGGATTCCACTAGAGCAGAGCAGTCATGTTGGCCTACAGAAAGCTGTGGAATTAGGCTCTTAAAAGCTGGTAATTGAAGGTGAATCTAAAGTAATCCTAAGCTGGCTGAGAAAAGAGGAAAAGCATCCATGGTGGTTCAGAAATGAGATAAAAAAAATTTAGAAAGCTGTCAAAAGACCTACAGTTATTATTTCAGCGGGCTCCATGATCAGCCAACAATCTAGCTGATCAGTTGGCAAAACAAGGGCTGAACAGAGAACATGTATTCTGGGCACAGTTGTAACATAGAAAAGCAAAATCTTTAGGGTTTCTCTGTMTTCTGTTGTAAGGGGTAGCCGAGGCTACTCAATGATGTAAATACACCCTTTCTTTATCAATAAATAGCTTCTTTTAATGATAAAATAAAAACAGTATAAAAGTACTTTTGTAAAAGTGCTTTTATGCTTTCATAAAAGTGTTTTTGCAAAAGTACTTTCATAAAGTGCTTTCGTGTAAAAGTGCTTTTGTAAAAGTACTTTTATAAAAATGCTTTCGTGTAAAATTACTTTTGTAAAAGTGCTTTGGTAAAAGTCCTTTTCATAAAATTAATTTATAAAATTTCTTTTATATAAAATTGCATGTGAATATGAAAGTTAATAAAATCTATTTTATTTCATTTTTTAATATCAAAATTAAATGTGGCATGGTGGTTTCATGGTTTGGAAGTGTAATGAGATATGGGTACACTAGAAAGCATGAGTTCAAATTATTACAACTTCCATTTTTTGAGATTTGGTGAATATAATAGAGCTGACTTTGACCCAACCCATCTTGACCCACACGACCCAATTCATCTTGATCCTAATGGGTACCCTCGACCTAACCCATCTCGACCCTTTTTCCACTGACCCTAATGGGTTACTCGACTCATATTGACCCACCAATAGATTGGGTGGATGAAATGAGTTGGGGTCAAGACTACCAATCCTATCTCTACTCGTAGAAGCTTTAATAATAATAATAATAATAATAATAATAATAAATGTAGAGTCTCAAAGTTGAAAGTTGAAACCAATAAAAAAACCGGACATATATCTAGAAGGTGATCATGGGCAGGCCGGGCTTTTAACCTGATAAGGGTTGTAGCCTGGGCCCAGGTTCGGCCCGGCCTGGGGACGTAGGCTTGAAAGCTGATGAAACATAAGGCCGGGCCGGGTAACTCCAGTGGAATCAACCGGTATAATAACTGAAAAACTAACAATCAAGCGGAATCAACCAAAAAAAGCAGAATCAACCGGTATCAGAGAAGTGTTAACCACTAAGGCGCTAACAACTGTAACAAATCAACTTGTATTCACGGTCCAAATTCATGGGGTTTTGATTGGTCAAAGTTCTTCCGGTTTCAGATGTGCTCTCCTGAAAATTCCAATTCGACAGTTTTAGGTGGATATCTTCTTCGGTCCTCCTAAGATGGAGACTCCGTCACGGATCTTGTCGATTCTTTAATCTTGGTTGGTACAGTACAGTACTTTTACAGGGCCGAGTAGTTGTCGCCATTCGCCAATCGCCATTGTGATCTCTCCAGTTCCTATTTCATCCACATCCGCTCGGCCATGGCTTCCGACTTCAAAGCTATTCCCATCATAGGTAAAACAAGCAATAGTAATTAGTGAACTCTTTCCTCAAATAAATGAAATGGTTGTCAAATACATTTTATCTTGAGTTTGACAAAGATAGAATTAGTTGGTGTATTTTGTTCAACTTTAATGATGAGATTGAATTTTAGTTTTGTCCTCTCACTAAAAGCATTTTGCGTTATAGCTGTTACTCCATAATTGCTCTTTTTTTTCAGGACATTTTAATCTACAAGGAGATTCACTATGATTCTCCTGGGGTTCTCCGGTTTTGGATTTTTTTCATTGGAGATGGAAAACCATTTAGAATTGTACGTTATGTCTTTATCAAGTTACAGGGGATTGGCTTGCTTGGCTTTCAAGGCCTTTTAGATAATCGCGAAGTCGGTGATCGGTTGGATGTAGAGTTAGGATATTTGATATGTTGACCTTTTATGGACTGTTTTATCAAGAAGTAGGAGTTCTAGTTTTGAATAAAAAATTTTACTTGGTAACTCCAGCTGAGGTTGGTTGGTTTGGTTAGTAGGGCCGAAGTTGACATCACACATTCACGATTATGGTCATCTGGTCATCACTGGAGAGACAAGTTCTAATACCAGATTGTGTTTTCCCATGATCCATTTGCTCTAATAACTAATGCCTTCAAACATCTATGATTTCCTTCACTCTCACGGTCTCATCATTTCAGTTATGGTCAATTTTGTTATCAAAATTGTTTCAGGCTATTGAATTCTGAACTTAGAGGCAACAAATTAACATTTACATAGTGGAATCTTTGGTATATGATGCAACCTAGGTTTGAAATGGTATTTTACAGTTGATTGAGGAATGGGATATCAGTTTAACTTCTTTTGCTTGAGTAGAAGTTGTACTAGTCATTCAGTTGGTTGAGGAATTATATTATAAACTTGATTGAAGTTATTGTTTATATATTTAATCACTTACCCACTTACTTTTGCCATCTAACGACTAAGCATTAACATTTGATTTTTATCATTCTCTTTTTATTTGATTTAGATGTTAGTCCTTTATTAGCCAAGTGCAATGACCCTAATATGGCGGAAGACCTAGGCGTATCTGAAGTTGTTAAACAATTAGATCGTGCTTGTAAGGAGGCTGGATTCTTCTATGTGGTATCTTACAACTCAGACACCATGTTTCCAGTATTGTTTGAAAGGAAATACTCTGTTACTGCTAATAATATGGTTTAGCTATGCAGGTGCCCACATCTTAAGGTGTAAATTTTTAGTGAAAAAGTGTACCCTTACTGATATGTTTGTTGATTTGTATGCATCAAGTTAATTTGAGTAATCAATCTTTGGTCACAATTATGATATCCGTATATTTTGGATTCAGTTCAAAGAGACTTTTTAATGCATTAGATTGCTTTTGATTTTGTTTTTCTAATGGTTGAGACCTGTAATATTGTTGTTGTTGGCCAGAAGGGCCATGGCATTCCTGATTCCCTTGTCAAAAAGGTTAAAGATGTGATACACCAATTCTTTGATCTTACTTACGAGGAAAAACTTAAGATCAAGATGTCCACAGCAACTGGATTCAGGTTCCCCCCTCCCCGTAATTACATGCCATTTTTTGTTTATAAGTAAGCTGCTGCACATGCACACTCTTTGGAATCTGGACTTGTAATTTGTAACTATAAGCTATTTCTTTAAGTGCAGAGGATATCAAAGAATTGGAGAAAATATAACCCAAGGAAAACCTGATATGCATGAAGCCATTGATGTAAGTATTGCTTGGTTGCTTCATATTTCCTCTGAAGAATGTTTACAGTATCACTAATTGTAGCTCAGTGCATTCTTATTTTGATACATGATGTCTGTTCAAGAAAGTTTCTTTTTTAAAATTTTCAAAAATAAAGTTGACAGTGAACATCAGAAATGGTCTAGAATTAATGAGAAACCAATGCACTACTCATTTGATGGACAAGTCCTGCCCACAATATTGATTTTTGCCCTGTCAGACGTAGTCATTGGTCCGATCTTCATTGTTAGGCTATCCCTTGAGTATGGCATTGTTGAAGTTGTACACTCTTTTAATGCATAAGATTCATTGAAGAGGACTTACAGAGTTGCGAAGGTTAAACTGGGCAGTTTTCCAATTTAATAAGATTTGATAGTAGATTATTTCATTGAAGTCACATTCTGCAGTAGTTTAAGAGCTCGCAGAATCCAATCATATCCTTCATTATAACTGACCATTTATTGTACCTCCAGTCAAAGGGAATGGAAATTAAGCTTATGGACAATTGCGCTATAAACAATCAAACAAGAGGTCTTAAAATAAGTAGGACTAAAACATAGTATATGTATACTATATAGCATGCAAATTTAGTAATAATAGGAGTTTAAATCATGATACACTTAGGATTGGAGACCAAGAAATAATTCAATGTGACCATTTTCGATACCTTGGTTCAATAATTCATAACAAGCAAGAGATTGAGGATACCAAAAGAATTAGAGCAGGTTGGGAAAAATGGAGGGGTGCATCTGGACTTTTGTGTTATAGGAGAATTACACTTAGATTGAAAGGAAAATTCTATAAAACAGTTGTAAGGCCAGCTATGTTGTATGGAGCAAAGTGTTGGGCATTCAAGAAACAACATGTTTAGAAAATGAGTGTGGCAGAAATGTGAATGCTAAGATGGATGAGTGGAAAACTAGAAAGGATAGGATCAGGCATGAAGCCATCCGTAGAAACTTAGGAGTATCTCTAATAAGTGATAAAATGAGAGAGAGTAGACTAAGATGGTTTGGCATTGTTCATAGAAGACCACCAACAGCTCCACTTAGGAGAAGTGATTTGTTACATGTGGAAGGGGCTAGAAGAGCTAGGAGTAGACCAAAAAGGACATGGGTAGAAATAGCAAGAAATGATTTAAGCACTAATAATTTAAATAGAATGGATTAGCGAAACAAGATTCATATAGCCGAACCCCATATAGCTGGGATAAGGCATGGATGATGATGTGTCAAAGGGTTTTATATTTCATCAATTAATTATTTCTATATTTTTGCTGTTCCGTTTCTCTTAGATTTTGTGAAAGAAAGGGTGTGTGTATCCTTGCAAGCAACTTCAATTTGTTATAGCTTATGAAGGCATATGAAATGGTTGTTAATGCTTTCCTTCCACACTTTTAAGGAGTTCAAATATATAAATCCTTATAGGTCCACTGTAGCCCTTCCCTTTGGCCCTTGACCCGTATCATTTTCAAGAGAGTCTTGCAAAGAGATCTCATTTTGTGGTTGAAATATATAAATCCTTATAGGTCCACTGTAGCAATATTTCTTTGTAATTGTTTTTTTTTTGGGTTTATGTCATCTTTTCCAGTGTTTTATAGTTAGGTATTTTCTTGTATCTCTATGTATTTTGTAGATATTAAAATGAATGTAATTGAACACTAGTGTTGCTTTTTATTTGCAATCTTTGGATGGTTTTCTTCTAATGATTTAATAACATTGAGTTTGGGTTCCAAATAATCAATCTTGGTTGATTTTGTAGCTATATCGATGAAGCTGTAGGTTTTCTTCTGCCCCTATATTGCCACTTAGACATTTTTGGGCATAGCTTTTTGGCCTTGGGATATTATTTATAATTTGGGTGTTTCAAGTTGATTGGTGATTTAGTAACTTATTTAGAGAAAGCTTTGGGCTCAAAAAGTTGACTACTTGTAAGTCAAAAGCTACAACCAATTATACTTCGACCTCAGGATTTCATCTATTGTAGGCAGTTATGATGGTAGCTGTAATTTTCAGATTATAATTGTCAAATTAGATGAAACCAACTCCCTTTGAATGAGTGTAGTCTGTTAAGCTTATATCGGTGAATATGGGAAATTGGGGTGTCTAATTGGCATAAAAGGGTACCAAAATCTAAGACCCATATGGGAACTAGGAAGAAGAAAATTTAATGACGATGTATCAGAGGGTGGCAGTTAATGGCATCTTTTGCTCTTCATGGGCAGTTGTTGACTAGGGATTGCCTCCCTTCTCAATGTGAAGTAAGGAGTGTGATATAGACTGGATGTTGAACAGAGATGGCTTGCCTTGACAATTGTCTGATTTCCTTTTCAGGTGAGGCTTCTAATAAAGAATGTCATTTTCCTGAGTTTCTGAATTAGATAATGATTTGATCGACTCCCTAGAAACTCTGCAATTACTTTTTGTTTTTGTCTTGTGTTTATGCTGTATTTCCTTGTATTTTATGGTCTGCCATTTTCCTTTATATCTTGAACTTTTCTTTCTTATTTGGTGAAACCTTGTTGCTTTTCTGAGATCCTTATAGATTGTTTTGTGTTGGGACTTTATTTTCTGGGGTGTTCTGTTTTGTCTATGCTTGTTTTCATTTGGGCTGCAAAAGTCAGTTATTATGCTTTGGTGCCAGCTAAAAAAACTGACATGTTTAACATAACCTGAT